TGTTTTCTTATCCATCTATGTGCTTATTGTTCTAAGTTGCTTCGGGACAAGCAACGGTTTAAGTTTGGGGAGATTTGATTAGTCGGAAAAAGTGTGTGGTTTATATATTTATTAGCGTATTTTTATATGCTTAATTTTATCGCACTTATATATTTTTTGACTCAAATATTTATTAGATGGATTTAAATGCTATGATATTTTTATGTTTTATTTTTAGGATATTGGAGTATTTTCATGGGCGTCATGACATTAAATTGAAGTTCCGGCCGGGGGTTGCCCATATCAGCCCAATAATGGCCCAACACCTTCTCAATTTCAGGCCCAATGACTATTATTTAAATAAAGGCCCAAGGACTTACATAGCCATTACTAGTTGAAGGATAAAAGATCAAAGACCATTTGCTTCTTAGAATTAATTTGGGCCGTGAGACAATTATTTGGGTAAACTTCTTGAAGGGATCATTTGGGCCAAATTGATTGGAGCCGCAATGCACATACAGGGAGGATTATTTATTTTTTTTGCTGAGGGGACTTACGGAGCGAGAGCAGCAGCCACACATATACGCACTCAGCCAACAGAGGAGATATCACGCATAGAAACAAAACAGAGGCACGCCGCAACAGAGAAGAGAAGAAAAAGGCAGCGGAGAGAACGCGAGGAAGCCGATAAATTGCGGAGGGAGGCCGCACCCGCACACGAGGGAGATAATTAATCTCTCTCTTTTATCTTTTTATTTTTATTTATTATGTTAGAGTAGTTTTTCTTTCTAGTTCCGGGGAAGTCGAACCCTACGTACTTGATGATGTTTAATTGATTTGTGGTTGATGATTTTAATATCTTTTTGGAATTGTTTGTGTTATTTTGAATAATTCACCATGATGTGTTGAGTTTAATTTAGATTGATCACCTAGATTAGGCTTAACATATCTACACCTGAATTAGGCCTTCAATCCGTAATTGTTGATGTGTTTAATTCGTAAGTGGTATCCGGAAGATGGTAACTACCGGGGATAACACGGCCTATTTATGTGAACGAATGCGTCACTACTTAGTCTAGCCTATTTTTCTAATTCGTAAAGCGTCTGATTGTATTAAATCTAAGAAGCGTTTTCTAGACTGTACAAGCAGTCAGGTCTAATCGTAGAGCGTCTCGCAGTTAGATTAAAAATAAGGAAAAATTCGGGTAACAGACCGTGTCGTTGCCTAGGGCTAGTAATTTCATAAGATAGCGAGATTTGATGCCAGAATTGATTAGATGAGTCAGCCGAGGGTGTAGACGGAACCGTGAACTAGAAAGTTCTCTTATTTATTTTATTTTATTTTTATTTTTATTGTTTTGATTTCATTCTTAGATAGATTAGTTATTAATTCAAATTCCCCCCTTTTATTGCTTTCATAATAAATTCAATTAATACAAGAATATCACAATTTGGTTCACACTCCTCGTGGGATCGACCCTTACTTGCCACTACTATTAGTTAGTAGAGGTTTGTCGAGGAAAAATATAAATTTTAATTTTGCCGCGTTGCGACGCGCGGTCACCGGCTGAACAACTATTATACGTCGACCTTACATCATGAACATGAACTGTAGTTTGCGAACATGAATTTATAACTCTGTACTATATAGGGCTGCTCCAGTATCAACTGGTCCCGCAAGTACAAAGTAATTAACTGATCTTGATCTTTAAAAATCATAACTTGAAATATCATGACTGATAAAATATCTTGACATGACTGACTTAAAAGGTTGTTATTACATTACTCCGGTTTTAGCTTCAAGCCTCCATGGTATACCCGGCTGAATGGCTATTATTTCAAGCCTCCATGGTAACCCGGACTATTGACTCTTATACACTAGAAACCGTTACCTTAACAATGAGTTGAGAATTATAACAACCTTTAACATGAATTTTTTTTTTTCGCTTGATCATGATTTACTGATCTGACTTAGGAAACTCGAGTCTATTCCTTGAGTTGAATCAAGGAATTCCTCCCTGAAATCTGCCAATTGATTGGCAAAATGGCAATTTTCGAGAGAAAATATCTGAGGAACATGATTGCTAAGATTTGTACAACATAAGTGCTTACAAATCTCCTGACAAGTTGCTAACTTGACTTGAATATATCTAGAATTGAATCTAGAGTTCTTAAACTTAATTCCTTTCTAAGGTTCTGAATCCACCCGTCCATGATATGGGGATTTCTCTGCTCGGAGAATTTCTCAACATGATAGTCGCGGAACTGTGCAACTACTGTGACCTGAGTAGGAGCCGGATGATCGGGTTCCCTACGGGCGGTATCTGAACATTGAGAAAGTTCAAAATTATTGAACACATGATAATATTTTGACTGATTACTAAGGCACACAAATCTCTTGACGAGTCGCCAAAAGTGGCCGATAATTACTGACATGACTCCTGAGAAACTCTAGAGTCATCTCGAAGGATACTAAATTCTAGAGTCATGTCTGAGTATACTGATCTCTAAAATCATGTCTGAATATACTGAATTCTAGAGTTATATCTGAACTCTAAAGTCTGAATCT